GTGCTCCCTGCTTTGTATTCCGGAATACGGTGGGCAATAGAGGAAGCGTAAAAGCAGGAGACCAGACTAGAGGGAACTGAGAATAATATACCACGATAGTTTTGTTCATGGCCAAATATTGAAACTTCAAAATCAACCAGAATCTTAAACAAAACTTTTTAAATGGCTTACTTTGCACAACAGAAGATGCCAAGAAATAAATACGTTTGTGCATATTACATTGTATGATACAAATAATTATTAATAAATTGATTTTTACTTTCTATGCAAATTTAATAGTATAGTTTCATTGGATGATGTATATTATAGATGTATCAAATTCGTTTTCTTTTGAATACTGAGATGAATACACGAATAACAACATCTATTCCACTAAGAGAATTACAATGGCTCATTAATTTCTTTTGGTGACATGATTAATGATACTATCCTCCCATCATCACCATCATCATCGTCATCATCATTATCGCATGTTATTCACATCATTAAGTGGGAGCGCACTGACAGTAATTTTAATTCACTCATTGAAAAAAGGTAATAGAGGCAGGTAATATAGGCATGGAAGACAAAAATTGATAGTTTACACTCGAAATGTATTTACACCCAAAACAGTGATGCAGTACGCTAACAAATGAATTCTGAGATATAAATGCGTGTTGTCTGAGATATGCTAATATTTAAACATACAAAAAAACTGTCTAAGATCGAGAGAAGATTGGTAGGGAAATGCGTAACTGGTAGGAAATTACTTTAAAGCAGCACAAAAACAATTTCTAGATATATGATTAAAAATATTATCATATTTACGATTTATACATGTCTTCGTCAGGTTCATGAGCTCAGTAACACCTACTTTGGTCACCATCATCATGGCTAATCTTGGTCCGGAAGTCCTAAGATGTCACTGCACTGATGATACTGATTTGAGTCATGCACTGAAGTGAGGGTAGTTGCACAAAGTCTTGATCGCATTTATGTTGCAGGGTTTCTTAGAAGAAAACATTTTTCTACCCGATTGGTTCAAACGTCTCCCAGAAGGTTGAAAGGATTCCATTAAAAGGTCAAAGAAACGACATAACCGATTGTCAGGCGAAATATCGATTTTGTTACTGTATTTATTTATTCGATCACATGTACCTAGGTATACATGATGGGGTCAGTTTCCTCATTTACACCGTTTACATTATGCATACGAGCCTGTGCGTCTTGCGTAGACGTACTTTATACGCGATACTGATGTTACTTACGTGAAGCAAATGTACCACCTGTGTGTTAATTTAATCCTAAAATGAAGCGGAAACCCGTGGAATTTACGAATTTCAGAAATATCACGGAAGTTTCGCAGATTGTAATTAAAGATAAGTGCAGATGGTAATTAAAGATAGGTGCAGATGATAATTTAAGATAAGAACAGATGGTAATTAAAGATAAGGGCAGATTGTAATTAAAAAAATCACGTGTGTATTGTGAAATAAAATCATTAAAATTTCATTATAGGTCTATTATATTTTGTTTTGTTCTACAGAAAAAAGGTTTAATACTTCACTTATTTTGGCGTTTAGTTGACATGATTAATTACTTTGCCTCCCAATAGATTCATATATTTATAACTTATAATAAAGTTTCCTTGTAAAGTGATAGTTGCAAGAAAATACTAGAAAACCATTTTATCCTTTCTCGGCTACGCTCACAAAGAACAACTTGAATAGAAACTATCAACGTGCTGTGAAATAACACATCCGTTGTAGACTTATGTTATTTTCAGTTGTTATCAGATCATTTTTGTACCGGGTATTAAAGCTATCCGCAATCCGGTACTTGTATCCGCTCTTTGAGGATGTCAGGTCGTTTCCTATATATCTACAATGTTAACAGGAATCAGTCAGATCCAGCAAAGATCTTTTCTGACAAAACTTGTGTGTTCTACTGACTCCGCGTGTTCATAAGATGCAAGTAACTACATGAAAGCAGCACAATCACAGATGAATTCCGAATGAACTTACTGAGAAAGCGGATGTGCCTATAAAGAACTTCTCATCTAGTGACAAGAAAAGAAAACTATCGATGTTGGTTTCCCTTGTAAGTTTCGTATTAATGGAGAAAGCTAGATGCCAATCTGAAACTTTGTGTTAATGCGCAAGATGCAAACTAGGTTTATATAGGCAAATGTAAAACCATGTACCAGACGCACATGCGCAAGTTGCAAGCTAGTTTTCTAGAGGCGAATCTAAAACCGTATACCGTGTATCAAAACTGACGTCATCAAACAGGGATAAATGTAAAATAGTTACGTTATATTAGAAGAAGTGTATAATGAAAAAGTGTGTATATCTGTATATGTGTATGCGTGCGTTTTCTGGATTTTCAACGTAGCTTTAAAACAATTTCCGTTTTATCGTTACGATGGCTGCAGTGTGATTGTTCATGGTGATATTTAACACTTGGGCATCATGCCGCAGTCATGTAGCAAGGTGTCCAACCAAGTCACATTATCCTGACACCAGGACGACCAATTCTAACACCAGCCTCTTAAAGTTTTGCGCCTATCAATCAGCTGTTAGTACCATTTTTTTAAAAAAAGTTTTGGTATGACTCGGCCTGGGTTCAATCCAAGGTGGATTCTCTAACCAATGTGGATGGTGATGGATGGAGAAAAGTAAAAGAACAAAATAAAAATGAAAAACTTATATATTTATTTTGAAATAATAGTGGCTGGAGGTGGTAATCATACTGCACATTTGGGGGGGGTAGACGACTACCATTACAACACAAAATGTAGACAACAGTGAAACAGATGCCACCATGATTGAATCAGATTTATCCCAGTGGTGGCAATGAGGGACACAAAAGGCGGCCCAACTCCCAACAACACCCCCACTTTACCAATATCAATCTTAAATGTGTTACAGCTACGTCAGCAGTGGTGAAATGTTTGTGGCAAACAAAATGTCTGACTGGTTAATGAGCGGAAGAGCTGATAAACCTTGCACTAATTGGATTATTTTTTGTTCGATAATGTTTTCGACATTCAATCTCACGCTTCAATCACCTTCTCAGCCTGTGACAGAAATACCAAAATACTCCTGCCAAATTATGATTCAGGAAGTAGAACCACCACACCACATACAAACAAAACCTTTTAGCATGTGTAGCAACATTTTCTACCTATGAGTTGAAATATCTGGAATGTATTAGTTTCTGATGAAAGTAGAAAGTGAGAGTATGCTGGGCCCCCTTAAGCCCAGTGTATAATTCGACATGCGCGAAGAAAGATTCCTTAGAGGCATTATGTCCTGCCGCTCATAAGCTAAGAAACCTCAGTATAGTTTATTTAAAGATGTTTTATGCGTCTGGTATATCAAAGACGAAATGAGGTCTATACCTACAATTAGTTTGCTCACTAATGGTATACCATGGCACATGCAATTACGAACTATTAACAGGTGTTTGACCCGTTTCTCCGTGAGCTGCATACCACAACATTATCTGCAGGATTGGCAGGACAACCGACATATGCTTAGTGCAAAGCCTGCTACACTTAACACAGTAAAATGATCAGAGAAGAAACTGGAACAAAATTTAGTCAGTTGGGCACTATTCAAGTCGAGAAACCGTAAGTCTACTTTGACATTTACAAGGTAGCACCGCATTGTGTGCATGTTCTCAATAACCTAGATAACGCCAATGAAGAGTTTGTATTCGATTACCCTTTAGCTCATTTGGCACGCGTGAACCCTTGATTCCATCGGACTTGTCGCGTTGAGTTTGATACGGAAGACATCTTTAAACCACTCGGCTAATCACATCAAACTAACCAAACACGTTTGGGATTCTCAATGTGCGAGATATAAAATGAATCCTAAACTCATAGAGGAGTTCATGCTGGTCGATGACCTTTTGGTTAATAACTAGTAAGAAGAGCCAGCAAAGTCTGCATCTAGTGTAAGACATTCCAGAAGAGCTGGTGATACAAGCCTTTAGCGAGGCCAGCACTATCCCCATTGCTGTGAGGGAGCTATATGGTTGGATACCATACTAGTGGAAATCTTCCGGGTATTCTTTAAATTTTCAAGTTCAGACACAGCAGTCTCTGTAAGAACACCGATTCATGTTGAGTCTCAGAAATGATTCTCAATAAGGTCGATTGCTTACTTTAATACATTTATCCAACCATACAACGGATTTACCAGAGGGGGGCTATAAAAGGAAAATTCACTCAAGACCTGACGAGATTCACTGATTGCACATGGGATGTTGCATTGCGCACCGGTTGTGCATGGACCGTGGAGGTCTGTTCTGTCTACTTTGTACCTGCCGGGAGACCAGCGTTCTTTACAATGGCCTTTATGAAGGTCATTATGTGCTATGACCGCCGGCAGCGTTGTATTCAGATCTTCTGGCTTCCACGCTTCGCTACGTAGGCATCAATTTTAGTTCCATGACGCCAAGAAATCCTACTTTGACCGTGTGCCCGTGCTACGTCAATACGAAACGCCTGATAAATCTGGAAGGAGTGCAGGCTTTTGCTAGGAAACATCACATATACTACGAATGTGTCGTCCTTGTAAAAGATAAGCACCACAAGGAGAAGAACGTAGCGTGTTTCCGTGGGCGTGGCATATTAAAGTTCAAACTCTTTTAGCCGCGAATTAGAGCAGTTCCTATATATGAAAGAATTGAGTGCTGCAGTTGATCAAGGATCAAAGTACTGGAACAAGATCCCAGGACCAACGATCTGTTGGTGTGTGTGTGTGTGTGTGTGTGTGTGATTTCGATTTCTAACGTAGCTTTAACAATTATTTAGTCATATAGCTAAGATATATGCATTGTGACAGTTTGCAATGATTTCTAGCACTGGGTCTGCATTCCGCAGACATGTGGCATGATGTCCCACCCAGTCATATTATTTGGACACCAGGCTGACATGTCCTAGCACTAGCTTCTTAATGCTCTGCTCCAAGCGAGGCAGCTGTTAGTATCACTTTTTTAAGTCTTTGGTATGACTTAGCCGAGGTTCGAACCTATGACCTCTCGCATCCGAGGCGGACGCTCTAACCACTAGGCCACCTGAGCTGTTAAAATCGCACTCTTGACGCCATCTTTTGCAATTGCAACCCGCTCGTTCTTGTCCCGACCATCCGACCTGCAACAGAAATGTGTCATCGAGACGACTGTAATATCCTTCGCACAAACTTGTCACAGATGACTTCCTTGAAACGTTCATAACGAATGGACGCAAGAATATAATGTTCTGAAAATGAATGCTATAATTATTATTGAGGACGCCATTTGCTGTCTCCCGTCATGTTTACTCGAAACCATTCTCAGTTGACTAGATTCGCTAGGCCTTCAAGAAATACCCCGTGGTGACTGAGGCCAACCCCTGTCAAGAACATTACATCTGTCAAATAACTAGCAACGCGAGATCGCGGTGCGCAAATACTGTTATTAAAAGGTCAGTGAACACTACAGCGTCAAAGAGGAGAATTAGCCATATAGCTCGGTCTGCATCCAGTGTCAGAAGATAAGCAGTGCCATTCCCCCAAAAAAACAACTCAATTTTAGCTTTTATGGGGTAATGGAAGCAAACTGAAAAAGCTTGTGCTGAATATATTCATCAAAATGATCATTTTAGGCGCCAGACACGAGGTCCTTACTGCAAAAGACCGGCGTTCGGGCTATGCAATTACTATGCACAAATCATTATAGCTCACTATCAAAACACCTGCGCAAAGCATGGCTCATCGAATGTTTTGTACGATAATCTAATTTCACGCATTAGACTGTGTCCTACCATGCATAACTTGTTTCAATTCGAGCGTGTCTTTGCTTCACAAGCCGAGAGGGCTGGAGGCGGCAACCTGGCAGGGAATTTGCAAGTCTGTGCAAAAGAAACGTTTAGCTTACATCCAGAATGGCAGGGCCTGTGATCACGTTGAAACCACAAAGTACCTACGTGCGCTTAGGATCTACATTAATAGCGCCTAGCAGATAGTATAATACAGACGAGTTGCTCTTAGCAGTCGCACACTATAGTTTCTAGATCTTGAGTGACTACACAGGGTTGGTGACGGGTGTTGTCCGGCATTCAGCTATGTCAGTACACGTAGTTAGCTCACCAAAGTATTTAAGGACCGACATTTCTCTTTCAGATCGACCAGCCAAGTCACAGATGCTGCAGACGCAGCCCGCACTGATATTTCATACAAGGTATCACACGCCGAGCCCTCTGAATGATATGAGTTGAAGTCTCACTTTCAAAAAGCAACGCTGCTACCGAACAACCACTTGGTCAGAGTATTCTTGAACCTCATCACAATTCCCTGTTCTTTAAATGCCTATTGTGCTAGTGCTTGCGTTTGAACACGACATCATAAACTTTGCCATTGCGGGGTTGTTAAAAGTACTTGTACACCACAAAGCCGACTGTGGTAACTCTAAAGACGACAATAAATCTGTTTGTAGGTTTGCTCAGGTGATGGTGTATAGATGTAGAACAGCTTGGACTCGTCGCCAATATTTCATATATTTTCACGCCAGGTTGTGGAAATATTCTATAATATTGCTTTCATGCTCTTCGTGGGTCTGTTTGGTTTTCAGATTGCTCTCTTTCCACTTTCTCTGGAAATTCATTCCATGTAGTTCTCACGATCATGGTGCTCAATGCCTCTTTAACTTCTAGCGAGATTCTTTTGATTTTTCTCAGTTCAAAAGTGAGTCGGTCGGAAAAAGGCAACTAATAGAAGGGCATGTGGTTGTGTAGGATTTTGAAATCGAGGGACATGCGGAAGCAGTTGCCAAATGAGGCTGACATAGACTCATGAGGAAATAGTGTATGTGAGAGTCTTGCGTGTCCTCCTAAGGACGATTCAAAGTGGTATTTGTGTTTTGAAGGTCTTGATAAAATGTGGTAGATTGCATTACTAAACTCTTTTTTCAGATCTCTTGAGGTCATGAAGACTCATTCAATGTCGGAATCTTCTAAATTGACAATTATATTCTTTGATTATAACCCAGAAAAAGGTTTTTACTATAAATCGGTTGGCATTTAATGCATGAGTTCCACCCGCCAAGGCTAATGTGAATATCAGCCTTGAGGTGAAGAGGATTGGTAGGTGCGTGAAATAGACTGTGGAAAGTTTATGTTGGGCCTGATAATATTGTTTATTGGTCACAGTAACTCTAACCCTTCCCTTAACGTCAAATGCGTGCTGCAGAAATATAGACATATAGCCACCACTGACGATTAAAAACAAAATCCGAACAAATAGTTTAAATCACGAGTTATACTTCAATCACACATAGGTCGCTTGATAGATTCCGAGCTATCGCTGCATCGGTATTCAACGGCACAGCACTGACAGCATTCAGAATCTATATATTCTTGGTCTCAATACAGTACTTCAAAAATCGTATCTTGTAGATTAACTCTCAAATCTTACAGTGCTTAGTAATCACGTCATAGTTAAAGAAACACTACTCACCGAACCGAACGCGAGAAAATAATAACAGAACAATTTTTTTCCATGTAGTTTAACCCAAAACACGACGCATAGACTCGAGTTTAGAGAACAAACTCGCATATGACTAAACCTAATATGTTTAGAGATCTCATGGCATGAGCTGCGTTTAAAGGTCGCAGCCCAAACACTAAGTTAAGTCCTTACCGCCAAATGTTACCCTCATCGCATGACTAAACTTCGTTAGTACACGCCCTAGAGAAGCAGTTAAGAATCCTCTTTCGTGAGCACTATTGCCTCCAGCCTTACGGCGCTAGGGTTTATAATGAGCACATAACATGCATCATAGCGTCACAACCAATCATCTCGAAACATGTGGATCAATTAGCCAGTATGCTGAGTTCATTGGCTGAAATCGATGTGGCTGCGCTTCCAGGCATTTTTGAGAGAATGTGTCATTCCTGCTGACAACCGCTGAGAACGAAATTAGCGAGGTCTCTTGGTTATGGTGTTACGATCGTGGTCATGTTCTTTGCTATTTTACCTTCTCACACCAGCACGCGTAGAAGACAATAGAAATTTTAAGTCCTATTGTTACATAATATTGAAACGTATCTACAGACCCAGACCGACCCAAAAGTCTGAGCAGAGTGTACCTTTCAATGTTTTTCTAATGGCATCCCACTCTCCGAGAAAACCAACTAAATCTATACTGAGCTCGATGGGGCCCGGTCATACTGCTTTGTAGGAACTAATACATACAAGATATTTCCATGGGATAAAAATCATTAAATTAAAGTATTTCATCATTTGTATTTGGTTTTAAATTCCGAGTTTCTCGAAGTCGTTGCATCGAAGATATCAAGTAGCATTGAGCGTCTGTTCGCGAAAACATCTGTTCGAGTACAGATGATACCTGTTATGAGCTAACATGTTAATAAAGACAGCGTTTTTAAATGTCATATTTACTTTATTGTCCGTATACTACAATTACTAATGACACACAGAGATAAAGTAAACATACTAACTTACCTTTGGCAGCATTTTGATTAACTGATGTACTCTATGTAACCTTTGTTTTACACGACCTAACTTCGAAAACAAAAAGTTTTTTTTTTACTTGGCTTCAGAATATTAAACCGTTCTCATGCTCAAACTCAGATGTATCCAATAACTATTATATCGGATTTGCTGTCCCAAAAGCCCTGATCAATCAGATGTCATAGTTCTTCTGAGTGGTTGACATAAAATCACTGACCAGTCAGAGAGCAGAGTTTTCGTTGAGCATGGCAATCGTGCTATGATAATTCCAAGTGTCATGCAAGCAGGTCAACAGATATCCGTCAAATTGTTCAATTATCTACAGGGTTTTATTGTAAGGCTAGTATTCAATATTAAAAGCTACTTAAAGAAAATAATTAGGGACACCGCAAACTTACTGATTTTATTTCGATTATTTCTGCCAAAACATATTAATGGGTTCAGTTATCACACTATGTAATCGGCAGAAGTGAAAAACTAGACAACACTTCTTAAATTATGAATAAAGTAATAGGTGATAGGTTACTGAAATGTCATCGGGACCTCATATCAAACCTGAGATTTTGCTTTAAAAATAGAGTCTGTGAATGATATTAGTAATGAAATGTTACGGAAACCAATCATTTTGCCATAGAATCGACTTTAGTTCTATACGACAGAATATTGCGTGATCGTACGACAGAATAGGTCAAGAAACAACAAGCTTAATAAAATTCAATAAATAGTTTATTTCTATAGAATTCAAAGTAAAAACTTTAAAAGAACTTACATTATTGTGAATTGGATTCCTAATAATTTTAGAGCATTCCAAATGAATTCCAGTGGTGTTTAGAATAAATTTCAGTTTTAATTTGCTAATATTCCAATATTTTGGAATAGTGTTGATGTGCTAAAAGTCTCGATGTATCCCAATGATATTCTCCAATTCGTCTCTAAATGAATTTACAATAATCCCAAAATAGTGATTTAGTACAAAATTATTAATGAGCACTTCCAATTAACGATGATCTCAAGTTAAAACTGAACACAACTGACTCCACATCAGGTGTTAGGATAAGAATTGTAAATTCTGCTGTAAAATTAAACCTTAGCACAAAATGCTTAGAAACAAATCGAAGAACAGAATGAAGGTCAAAGGTTAATTTTCATAACAATCCAAGTTATATAAAAGATCAGGCCTTTGTTTACACGGTTAACAAATAATATGGCAAACATCAGGCACACCAGATTGGGAAAACAATAACCTGAACTCAAATGAAACTAAAACTGTTTACCCACAAGTAATTATTATATTAAAATATAATCTACAATCATAGACACGAATGAGCTATATAATGCTGTTTACTAAAAAAGACATAATTTTAGCAGATCCAAACTCCTACCATCAATTATGGACATAAAGCAATGACACATCACAAATTTAATATTCATAACAAGCGACAAATATAATTTATCATCGGTATGGTTGTTTTTTTAAAGGTAAATATCTCATATCTTATCGGAATGTCTCTTTTCTAAGTGCATTATACTTAGTATCACACTATGATAACTAAATTTTGTTCTTTAGAATGT